GGCCAGCAGGGCTTACTTTCAGGAAACCCAGAGGGCTGTGGGAAATAGAGACTCCATTCTTAAAGGATGCACACAGATCTCACATGCTTCAGGACCCAAGCCAGAGACACTGATTTGAGAGGAGCCTGGGTCAGACCCACTTGCTGATCTCCCACAGAGTTAGGAGGCCCCTGGAGCTCACCCTGGGGACACACACTGGTGTCAGCCACTTCTGGGAGCTCATTTTACCATGTGGACATAGGTGCTGGCAAGTGCCATTTTGGAATCCTTCTAGTGTATAAGCATCTGGACCTGGCCCCGCTCACTAACCTGTGAGTACCAGTACTGGGATGCCTCAGGCCAAGTAACTAGCCAGGCCAGGACACAGCCTGGCCTATACACCTGCAGGCAGGCTTCCTTAGGACCTTCTGAGCCCACAGCCACCCCAGGAAATGGCCCTGTCCACTAGAGGGCCGAGGATCCAGCCCCAAATACCAGCAGGTGCACTAGCCTGGAAACCCCCAGGGCTCGCTCTACATCTAGAGATCTCAGAACCCAGCTCTGTCCATGAGTGAGTAGGCACCAGCCCCAGGACCCCCAGGGTCCCAGTCCTGCCCACCAGCAGGTTGACACACCAACTCTGAGACCTCCAGAGTCCTACAACCAGAAACCCTGGGATTTGGCTCCATCCAGCAGTGGACAGACACCAGGCTCAGGACTCCCAGGATTCCCTGGGCCCCAACTACACCCGCAACAGGGCAGACATCAGCACCAGGACCACCACAGCCACAGCCTGTCATAGCAAGACTCAGCCCACCTACCAGCTGCTGGCACTAGCCTCAGGAACTCCTGTGCTCTGGCCTTTCCCACCAGTAGGTGAACATTAGCTAACTCAGCTAACTGCCACAGGATCCCATCCCACCCATCAGTGGGCCAACACAAGCTTCTGGACACTCTCTACCCCAAAGCCACAAAGCCAGCTGTGTTAGCACCTGGCCCCTCTCATCAGTAGGCCAGAATCAGCTCTAATATACCCAGGGCACTGCAGCCAGAGACTTCAGGAACCAGCTCCACCCACTAATGGATGGCATCAGCTCCAGATTCCCCCGAGCCCCAAACCTGCCCACCAGTCCTAGGATACTGCAGCCTGACAGACTGCCTTATAAGGACCCAGCCAATACATGATCAGGCCTGCATCAGTCCCAGAAGTTTCAGAAGGAGAAAAGTGAGGAAAGGGAAGAGAACATTTTTGAAGACCTAATAGCTGAAAACTTTCCTAATCTGGGAAAGGAAACAGACATCCAGGTTCAGGAAGCACAAAGACCCCCAAACAGGATCAACTCAAAGATGCATTGTAATTAAAATGGCAAAAATTAAAGAAAAAGAATATTAATAGCAGCATGGTAAAAACAACAAGTTATACAAAACAGAACTCCCATTAGGCTGTCAGCTGAATTTTTAGCATAAACTCTGTAGGCCTGAAGGGAGCACCATGATACAGTCACGTGATGCAAGAGGAAAACCTACAACCAAGAACACTCTACCTGGCAAGGCCTGAATTTATATTTTATGGAGAGATCCAAAAGTTTAACAGACAAGCAAAAGCTAAAGAGTTCAGCACCACCAAACCAGCTTTACAAGAAATGTTACAGGGACTTCTCTAAGAAAAAAAGAAAAGGCCTCAACTAGCAACATGAAAATTATGAAAGGAGAAGGCTCATAGGTAAAGAGATATATTTATTGTAAAGTAGTAAATCAACCACATACAAAGCTAGTAAGAAGTTTAAAAAAAAAAAGTAGTAAAATAATGTATATCTGCAAGGGATACGCAAAACAAACACTTGTAAAATTTGATGTCAAAATTAGTAATTATAGGGAAGTGTATAACTGAAAGATTGTGCTCTACACTGGAAATTGATACAACATTGTATACTGACTATAACTCAATAAAAAATGTTAAATAAATAAATTGTAGGGAAGTAGAGTAAAAATTCAGGGTTCTTAAAATGCATTTGAAATTAAGAGATCAGCAACTTAAAATAATCATGTCTGTATATACACTTAAACCTATATATATTCTTAAATTTCTGAGACTAATTTTCTGGCCTAGCATGTGATCTACACTCAAGAATGTCCCATGTGTACTTGAATGTGTATTCTGCTACTTTGGGATGTAAAGTTCTATATATATTAAGTCCATTTGGTCTAAGGTGTCATTTAAGACCAGTGTTTCCTTACTGATTTTCTGTCTGGATGATTTCTGTCTATTGATATAAATATATATATATATATAGATTGCTGTATACAAACTTCATGGTAACCACAAACCAAAAATCTATAATAGATATGCACACAAAAAAGAGGAATCTAAACAAAACATTAAAGATAGTTATCAAATCACAAGGGAAGTAAGCAAAAGAAGAAGAAAGGAACAACAAGAACTACAAAATGAACACCAATTAACAAAACAGCAATACATACATAATGATCAATAATTACTTTAAATGTAAATGGAATAAATATTCCAATCAAAAGACAGAGTGGCTGAATGGATACAAATATAAGATCCATCTATATGCTGCCTATAAGAGACTCACTTCAGATATAAAGACACAGACTGAAAGAGGAGGGGTGAAAAAAGTATTCCATACAAATGGAAATCAAAAGAAAGCCAGGATATTTATACAATGGAATACTGTTCAGCCATAAAAACCGACAACATAACAACATTTGCAGCAACATGGATGCTCCTGGAGAACAGCATTCTGAGTGAAGCAAGCCAGAAAGAGAAAGAAAAATACCATATGAGATCGCTCATATGTGGAATCTAAAAAAAACCAAAAACAAACAAACAAAACATAAATACAAAACAGAAACAGACTCACAGACATAGAATACAAACCTGTGGTTGCCAAGGGGACAGGGGGTGGGAAGGGATAGACTGGTATTTCAAAATGTAGAATAGATAAACAAGATCATACTGTATAGCACAGGGAAATACATACAAGATCTT